GATTGGAAACAGCATTCATAGCCAAACAACCCCCTTGTATACAAGAGACCCCACGGAAGGCTTACCATCTGTAACCATGTAGGTGGACCACAGGGTGATCCAGCTTCCCACTGCACCAACGGGGTTCTGGGCTGAATCTTGGCCTCCCTGACAAATACCGCTTCAAAATCAAATTCCCTTCTGTGGAGCCAAAATACTGTATGCAGTAGTCAGTTCTGGGCACATACACTTTAGGTGGCGTGCACGTATTAAATAGTGGAAGTGATAATGGTGGAGAGGGTGTCCTAGAAGTGTATTCATAAGACAGTTCTTGGCGGTTTTCTTGGATTTGATTGTGAAATGATAAATGAAATGGATCACGATGTATGATTTCAGAGAGTTCTTACTGCAGTGTCTTCTAGTGCCCTGGTTTTTGCCATTTGAAAAAAAAAAAGTAGTTTTAAGTTTAATTTCTCTTCTAAAAAGCCTGCTGTATGCCTGCTTTCTCTTAAAAGGCACGAGTCCGTGAATAGCTTTATCATATATAATACACAGGTCTGTGGCTACTACTTACCACATTCATTCTGGTTATGTAAAACTACAAATCACTGCATTGAGATGAAGTTTCAATGTTTTTATTCAAAGCAGCTTCTCACAATGTATAAATACTGCATATTAACACACATGAAAAATACAACTTCTAAGGCACCCAGAAATGTGTCCATACACTAGTTACAGGACCATCAACAAACAAATTGTGTACAATTTGATCTAGACAGTCAATATTTGATATATCAGAAGATACAAGTCCCTCAGTACTGTACCAGTTTCAGAAAATATTTACAACACTGTGATATAGGGGTGCCTGTACCCTTATAATATTATAATATGTACTCATCATTACAAATATTAGAAACTGTTTTAGTCTGTTCCATGGCGTTCTGACAAAATAACTTAAGGGCCTAATTTGCAAAGTTCTACAATTAATTAGTTGTGCAAGTTCTGAAAATAAATTTACATTGACATAATTTGTGAATTTTTGGTTCTTTGCTTCATCTCAGAAGTTTGGTAATAAGCCTTACCAATAGACATGCCATCGTAGCTGAACGTCACTCCTTTCCCAATAGGTCAGTGGATACATCTTTTCCCCTTACGCTTGACATGGATGAGAATGCAGCGTTTGTAGCAGAAAGAGACTATTTGATATTCAGCACAAATGTCAAACTAGTTCACCGGCGAAGGAACTAATGCTTTGTTAGAATGCATTTCTTTGGTCCTTTGTTTTTATGGAAGGCATAATATTTTTATTCACTAAAAATTGAAATCCTGTCTGTGAGTAAGCAAGCTAGTGTATTTAAAGTAGCAGTAAAGAGATTTAATATGGCTTAAAACATACGGTTAATTGGGCAGACACAGAGAACACATCTAGGATACCGAGTACCCAAATGTACTATGATTAAGATTGTCTATAAGTCTCTTATGTAAACTTCTTTAGTGTCTCCTAAAGAGCGCTGGCTTTAGCCAGATTTGACTTTTATAGACCCAGCCACACAAAGCCTGAGATTAAACTACTGTGGTTGGGAGCACAAATGCACAGTTTATATATAACAAAGCCCATGCTGACAAGTCTACCTATGTTGTTCAAGAGAAACAACCCGTATTATCCTTTTCACAAGAAAAACTTAAGGCCCTGTACTCTGATTTGCTAACTTTCTTACAGCAATTATTTGGGGAAGTCCTTAGTACTACATAAGCAATTATGTAGCTTTAAAGATTTCTTGTACCTAATGGTAAGGCTTATTCACAAATGCAATACATTTATAAATTACATTTAAAACTGTAAAGGCTGGCAAAATAATAATAATAATAAAAAAAACCAAAATAAAACAAACCCCAACCAAAATTGTCTGTTTATCCCTAACATTAAAAGAGCATTTTATTCTAATGAAAAACTATTGGCACAAACCCATTATATTATAGATTAAAAGAACAGTTAATAGTAGTGAAAAAGATTGCCTAAAACGCATACCCTAACCTACCACAGAAATATAAAAGTTTATATTCTGAAAATATATACTGTATTAAAGTTTGTAAGCTTATTCATTTAAACAGAAATGTACTGAAATAGTAAACTAAGCAACACTTATCTACAGCAAAAATATACATGCAGGACAACACAAAATAAATTGCTTACCTTTAATATCTACAAATGCAAAACTGTAGATTTTTAAAGATTGTACAAAACAATTTACACAAGAATAAAATAACATACTTAACAACAAATTGCATTTATAATCTTAAATACTGTGAATATTAGTAAAGGTACCCAGACTAATATGTACAGTACATCTAGATATCTGAATACCTGTAAGGACAGAAACACAAGAGAAAACTGATTCTGATCTTTAAATACCAGAAAAGAAGCTTTTGACATTGTTATTACTCTTTTTTTGAAGGGAAAATAGATCCCATGAAAACTAGATTGTAACTGTATAGATATGAATAATTAAAAATGTTAACTATGGTTAGCGCTTGCTTTAATGGAAAAATAATTATAGAAAATGTATTTCAACCATTCCTTTGTCATAAAAAATGCTAAGATACAGATATCTGAAAATTCAGATGAAATGATGCAGTTTAAAGGTCTAACAACTTACAATTCTTCTCTGTTTGAAAATCTTATATGGAAAGCATACCTTCACATTGCTGAGCAATTTTTCTATATTTATCTACAAAACCCAAGCATACTATTGAAATAAACTTCCTAATACCTTATTAACATATGACTAGGAGTTATGGCTCTCTGGACGGGAATAAAGGAAATAAAGGAAATTGAGGAATTGTGGTACTTTCCATTGCTTTTTTTTCCTTTTTTTTTTTTTTTTTTTTTTTTATTCTGAAGTCATATGCTGGAGGCCTGATTGTGCAAACATGTATGCATGTGAGTGGTTTTCACTTGAGTAATCCCTCTCATTTTAATGGGACTGCCATATAGGTGACTCGCATGCGCACACTGGCATAGCAGGGGGTCCTGTGGCCTTGATCCAACCAAGTCTTTGCGCATGCGCTCCATGGCATTGCTGCCAGGTTGTGGAAATAAGCAAGTATCAGTATAAAACAAGTGGTGCATCAATCGCTTCAAATAGTTATTGTAAGAGTTCTGTTTCAGACATTTAAAAATAACTTACTCGTTTTGATAAGGTTTTTTTGAAACCATTTAAAACTGGCTAACTAGAAGCCAGATTTTGTCTTTTTTATCAAGAATTTCCATGAGAACTTCTGCCTTCAGGGTAATGATTTCCTTAAAATTCAGTGGTATAATTAGGCCATAGAAACAGCACTTTTAATTATTTGTGGAAAAAGAAATGTTATATTAATACGTCGAAGGCTACTGTTTACTATAATCACCTGTTCGTTAACTTTACAAAGGCTTTGTTGAAATGGAAATACTGGGAGTGAGAAGACCTAGCAGCCTCATTTGCAGAGGTCTAAACCACAACCAGGTCACTGAGCTCAAGGATGGAGAACAAGTGCACAAATTGCAAAGCAAACAAACGTGCAAAGCTTCTGCTTCAAGAGGTTTTAATTTGGGCATACTAAAATGGCAGGTGAAGTCACAGAGCATGCTTGTGTTGTTTCCATATTAATTGCCTTACTAGCAAGAAAGAAATGAGAGAGATCCAGTGTTCAGAAGTCAGTCAGTGTCACTGAAAAGTACTAGGATCACATTCTAAAATAGCAGATTGGATTTTTGTCATTTATTGTGGGCTGCTTTTATGGATAGCCATAAGTTCTTGTAACAGATGGTGGGGTGGCCAGATGTGGAGAGCTGGGGAAAAGCAAAACAAAACCTCTCCCTCCACTTAGTTCAACACCTAGCACCTTGTATAAACTGTTGGCCCACACCCAAAGGCCTCCAGAGCAGAAATTATCTCACACCTGAGGAATCAGGCAACTAGACTAAGGCTCATAAGGATTTGCTTTTAGACTTCAGACCAAAAGGGGATGTTTAAACCTGAAAAACAGTACGATGCCACATAACGGCACCACTCACCCTGTTACTGACGTCCGGCTAACAGGAATATAGTAAACTTCAGTGAAGCATCTTGTTGGCAAGCCCTTCAATGCTCCTCAAGAAGGCAGAAAGTGAAAAGAGACTTAGGGGGGACTCACTGCTTCAGAATCCACTTCTTCCCCTTAACCCTGGCAAATCAATCTATTTCGCAGATTTTTTGTACGATTTTGCACACAGAGGAGCATGCACGTGGCTGTTTCTTTTACTGCCCGCAGCATTCTATGTGTTTTCTATATATTCTTTATTATTCTACACAATTTGCTGCTAAAAATGTGTTTGCATTTTCATGTGATGCCATTAATTCAGTCAAGGGAAGTATGAAAATAAGACCTGTGATCAATAAACAGCTAAATATGAACACAAAATAAATAAGTTAAATAAATTCAACAAAGAAAAAAATCCTAGTAGTTTTTGTAAAGCTAACTGTACATATTATACATATAAATTATCAGGTTTTTCCATTACACTGTTAGAACTTAGGAAAAAAGTCATTAAAATATTTCTAAAGTATGGTGTTTGTGTCTACAGAATATCGTGCTGACCCAGTTTTTAGATTGAGCCCTCTATGTCAGCCCAGATGTGTTGCAACAGCAAGAATAAGTTAAGAAGGACAGAGAAAATAAATCATTACAGATGGCGTGCCTTATTGGGCCTCAGTGGTGCTTCTCAGCACATGGAATGTATACTTTTAGCTGGATGAGCATGTGAAAGATGCAGCCCTCTGTAGAGATTATGTGCACGGAACAAGCCTGCCTACGTCTCGGTTACACAAAATCAAACCAGCTACAAGCAGCTGTGTAGCTCACAAGGAAATCGACACAACCATAAGTATTAGGATACACTGTCACAAATTCCTCAATGATGCATTGCCTCTGCGTCTCAAACACAGGTAATGTTTGACTCTGTTCACAAGTGGAGCGTTTTCTCTTTCAGTTAGGCCAAGACATCAGACTTCATAAATTTTGTCTTGCAAGTAGCTGAATAACGAATCCAGTCCTTTGGAAGAACTCCACAGCTGTTTTAACATCTGACTCTCTTTCTCATTCACATCTTCAAGTCCGGATTTCAGAAAGCTCCGCACGAGACACTTGGACTCTTCCAATACCTAAAGCCAAAATATCGCTCAGTCTTTTATTTTGAATCTGACAAAATCATTATGGATAATGGCGTGAACAGCATTTTTACACTCCTGACTGTTTTACAATCTGAGTAACTCCCTTAGGCACAGAAATTAGATCTGATTTACAGCCGTAACTCCACTTGCTGATAGTCAGCATCTCTAAGAATTAAGGACTTCTGAGGTTTTTGCCTTAGTGCCAACATCTTTAAAAGGAATGAGGGATTCATTCATAAACGACCTTAGTTTATTAAAGGTCTGCCATGAAGCACTGGAAGAAGCTGAACTCCCTCCTGTTGAAAATGTGGTCCCTTGCAATGAAAATGTGTGAGGCATGATATATTGGCTACCTGTTTTCTTGAAGGTAGTCTTTAAGGTTACAGATGTTGGAAACCCAAATGTGGATGTCCATCATCTTTAACAATTTTCCCTTATGCATCATTTCCTTATCAAAACCAAAATGAATAGGAAAGGGCTTTTACTGCAAATACCTTTTAAAGTTTATTTACTTATGTTTTTATAAAAGTGAAGTATTTTATAAAAGAAGGGTGTTAAGCAAAACAAGCACCCTCTGACTGTGTTCTGGAATTAGATTTGCTTAGCATATACAAGCAGTCATAAAAAATCACCCGAGGTTTTTAAAATGGAAAGCCCAATCTCAAGCCCTTAGTAATTGCTCTGAGTTCTTAAAGGCATGAACAGCAGGCCAACGGTTGCTCCTATAGTTCAGGTCATTTTTCCCAGACCCATTTTTAGACACATTGAGATTGCTGCCTTTAAAATTTTTTTAAATATGTAACACCAATATGTATCTCACAAGAAACCCAACTAGTAAAACAAAACCATTAATAATTCATACGTTATTGATTTTTGGGGGGCAGAAGACAATGTAAACTAATACAATGTTTATCGTAAGGGAGACTTATACTCTCCACTCACCTTTGTCAACACCTACATGTTAAGCCCAGTTCCTATCTGTTTTAGGTTACAACACTGCTATTCCAAAATAGTATTTAACTCAAGTAAATGGTGTTAATTGCAAGTTGTGGGGCCTGTGCATTTTTTTTGGTCTGTTTGTGAACAAGTATCCACAGTGAACTTGGATGAGCTCATCATATTCATTATTTTTGTGACTTCAGCCTGATTTGCATTTAGGATGTCTGAGAGTAAATCTAGTCTTTGACAGTTTTAACTCCCACCTTTGTCCACAAGTTAGCACCAGCCTTCCTAACAGGTCTCAAGAGAAAATTTCATTGGCAGCCAATAACAGTGAAGGAAGGAAGAATTCACAGTAAGGTCCAGAGGTCTTCTGAACTCATATAATACATGTTATATCAGCATGATCAAATAAGCTTATGCTACATTTCCAGAGAGTTTCATTCTGAATGTCTTTTTTGAGATCTAATCTACAAATCTACACTTCATTTAATTAAAAATCTCCTGTGTCTCTACCTTCTCTTTTACAATAGATCTTTTAAATGAAACTGAGGGATGCTAAGACAGCTTCAGGCATAGGAAGTATAGCAAGAAACTGCAACAATTTGCACTTTAGTTAGTGCAGTTTTATAGCAGCCAGTATCGCTTTCCTTACTGCACTTTTTTAAACAAGGATGTGCCTAGAATAGGAGTATATCTGCCCGAAGGGAAAAAACCTTAGGAAGTAAAAATAGGAAAGGATTTTCTTTCAACTGTTATGTACACAAAAGGAAAGTTATAATACACTGTGACCAGACTGTGTTCAAATCCCCCTGTGCCTGGATCTCACCTCTCCTTCACAGCAGAGGTTAGCTGGCACTATCCTACCCTTCTGGTGCACTGTGTAGAATGTTTTGCAGAATCAGGAACTGTGCAGGTGCAGAAAAGAAGGCAGAGTCAGCTGAAACATAGTAGGCCAGGACAATGTGAAAGGCAAATATATTTTCTTACTGGCCCTACAGACATTTCCCAGTACAGTTTCATAGTTTCAGGTTCTTCCACCTTCATGAAGGAAACCTATGCTAAAATTATCTGAGGCAAGGAGGTTCCACTCATACTGAATAGATGTGAAGATGGGGAAGGGAAACAAGACTCCCTGCCACTGAAAAATGGGAAACTCCGTGAGCTCACTGATCCCCATCCAGATTGTCTGTTGTTAGCCCTCTTCTACAGGTAGGGTTGTGGAAACTGAGAACCCACCATGTGATGAGCCGTGGATTCACATCTTGCCTCCATGAAATGTGATTTAATCAGAGAGGAGTTTGATTTCTTACCACTGCACTGCAGGATGCCATTTCTTTCACTCGTAGCATCACTTCTTGGCTAAATGTTGTTGGCCAAAATACTTGTGACACTAGTCCTCTGCTGCAGGCTTCCTGTGCTGTCAGCTTTCTTCCACAGAACAACATTTCATTTGCCTGTGAAACCAAAAGATTACTTATGATCTTGGGTTATAATTCCCTTAAAAAATTTTCCATACTTGCCTGCTATTTTCAAGATTAAATTTACAAATGGTCTCCTGTATCTTTCCATATTGCAAATACTTAAAAAGGAGTTTTGTTAGCTATTTAAGGATTGTGCAGGTGGCCAGAACACAGCATGGGTTTCATTTAAGAAAAATGTGCTGGCATGCATGATGAATCTGTATTGCTGATTTTACAAGAGTAACTGTCAGTGATACAGTGATACCGTGCCAAGGGTCATGGAACCTAGTATGAAATACCTTGTGGGGCAAATTCTGCTTTCTTATCCTACTAAAAACTGAGCAGCCTTATTGGAATTAGGATAGATTGTCCTTAGAGAGCACAGAGCAGTATCTTGCTGTGATACCGCACAATCCTAACACAACACAGACAAGTATTATCCCGATAATGCATTTCTTCCCTTTTCTACTGTGATCTTGACAAACTTTGCCTTTTCAACCTGTGTTCAATCTTTCTTTTGCACAGCATGTGTAATACATTGAATTCTGAGGTCATTTTGTGATAAAGTGGTAGGGATTAGGTGAACTTTCTACAATTTCATTTCCATTCATGACAATTAAGAGAAACAGTTGTTTTCTGTTTTAATTTTGAAGGAAAGAGAGTATGAATTTAAGAAAGGTTCTTCAGCAATTTGAGGTAGAAAACCTTACCAGTGCAACACCCAGAATTTGTGGGAATGTGTATGATGAACAGCCAGCTGGAGTGAGTCGGATAGTTGCATATGGTGTCTGAAACCATGCCTTCTCACTTGCCCAAACGATATCGCATAGTGGTAAAATAGAAGCTCCTAACCCAAGAGCAGGGCCGTTGATAGCAACCACAATTGGCTTCTTAAATTGAATAAAAGCTTTTACAAAATCCCTAAAATAAAAAATAAAAGAAAGATCTTGAATACTGAAGTAACACTTAGATAAATACCCAAGCTTAAAGTACTTAATCTGAAAACAAATTAGAACCACAGATGAACATAATAAATGCCATGGCCCAGTTTTATGAGGTCAGAATTACAAGATACTTTCTAGTTTGCACATGGAAAATTTTTCTTGTATTTAGTTATTTAATCTTGCTGAGTACCTGGGATATTAAATAGTTTTGTATGTGTTGTATATGAACTGATTAATTGGAATAACTGACTGTTGCACTTTTAGCAGAATGGTTTGGTAAGGTTTAGTTTTATTTCTGGACCAGTAACTCATGAGTTTGTACACATAGCGCTTCTGAGTTTGCTCCACAATGGCTAGTATGGATTCTGATGATCTGGTTTGGCTAACTTGATGAACACGTTATAGCGTGAAAGACAGGAAACTCAGGTGGATTACTGGTATTTTTTTTTTTTCCAAAAAGTTCTCTTCAGATCCTATGTCAAGGGTTACTGCAAGTCCCATCAATGGATTGGGAGACAGTAAATGTTTACGGCACACCAGCAGAAAGAACATGACCCACAAAGGGGAGTCAGAGAGAGTGAAATGTTTGAACAGGGAAAGAATTAGGCCAGTGATCTGTTGGGTCATTACTGCAAATGTCTTCGGCAAAGACACAACGAAGTAGATGCCCTTGCCTGCCTGCAACAGTAAATGTGAAGTGATAGAAAATAATGAGGAAGTAAATGTGATAGGATTTATCTGGATGAATGAACTAGAACACGTTAAATTCTGCGCAATAAGGAGATATTTTAAATAAGTTACCTACCAGCAACTATGGAAAGACGTCTGTTGAATGGAACAGCCTATACACCAATTAGGAAAAAGCAGGAAT